GCGAAGTCGTCGACGCTACCACGGAAGGCCTAGATACCGCATCGGTTGTCACAGAGCCTGTGCAAAGTCCGTCAGCCGCGGCGCCTTCGAGCAGCGATCGCGTGCGTCTTTAGCGGTCGCGTGCACGCGACCACTAAAGCCGAAGACAAGTTATCGAAGTTGTCGTCCACTCCAGCGACGGAGCGGAAATGCGCGTTCGTGGTTGACGGTGCCGACGAAGCAGCTCGGCCGCCTGATGAAACCACATTCCCAATTATAGATTTGGACACAGTGAACAGCGCTTTGTTGGCATTTGCAAAGTGCAAGGCATGCAACGGAGAACTGCAGATTGTACGCGACGACCAGAAATTTGGACTCGCCGTGAAGTTGCGTTTTGTGTGTTCGACCTGTGAGGAAACTGTGTCGTTGAGCTCGCCGCCCGTACGTAGCGATGAACGCATGAAACCTTTTGCTGTGAACGTTTTGGCCGCGCATGCCATGCAGGCAGCGGGGAACAGACAGACCGCGCTGAATGATGTGTACTCGTTGATGGGCATCAGCCGTCAGGGTCTTCACACAAAAACGTGGCAACACTACGTGAGGACGAAGTTGGCACCCGCAGCCGATCGTGCTGCACGCAATTTGACGAGCGACTACGCGCTGTCGGTTCGCGAACTTTACGCCGAACTTGATGTAGGCCACATGGGAAACATCACGGTGTCGTTTGATGGGTCATGGATGACTTGCGGTCATTCGTCGCATATCGGTCTCGGACACCGTCATAGAATTGTTCAGCGGGCTGGTTCTTGACTTTGTTGTTTTGAGCAACTTTTGTGCTGGATGCGAGTTAGGCCCAAAGGAAGGTGACCCTTCTTATACAGGGTGGAAAGAACATCACCAGTGTCAGAAAAACAGTGACAAGAAGGCTGGGGAAATGGAGATTGAGGCTGCCCTCATCCTCTTCAAGAGGTCATTCGAGCGGCACAAGCCTGCGCTACACCATGGTGCTTTGCGACGGGGACAGCCCCAGTTACCTTGCACCAATACAAGAACATGAGGTTTATGGGTATATCCCAGTAGAAAAAGAGGACTGCTATAATCATGTCCAAAAGCGTATGGGCACTGCTTTGCGCAACTTGATTGCAAAACACAAAGGCCCTGGCCTTGAGAGTCTTGGGGGAAAGGGCCACTTGACAGGAGACCTGATCTCTAAGCTCGCAATTATTATGGGTGGGCTCTGAAGACACACAGTGGTGATGTTGATGCTATGCACACAGCAGTGATGGCCACTTATCATCACATCACGGTCCAATGATGATGTGTCAAACCCCACTCTGTGCCCACCTGGTCCAAATTCCTGGTACAAACAAAATGCGGCAAAGGCCAAGGAGGAGCCCATTTCCAAACATCGTCGAAAGCTGCCTCCACATGTCTGCCAAACCTCACTTCCCATTTATGAGAGCTTGTCAGACAGAAAGCTGTTGCAACGATGCCAGCGAGGGAAAACCCAAAATAACAACGAATGCCTGCATTCAATGATCTGGGCACTGGCACCAAAGGAGCGACATGCTTCGCTATTCACGGTAAAGGCAGCTGTGGCAGAAGCAGTGCTCAAGTTCAATGCAGGCAATAAAAAGGCATTAGAGGACATTATGAAAGAGCTGAACCTAAACCCCAGCAGCTGGCAAAGCAGCAGCCGCATGGCTGAAAAGGATCGACCGCACACGGCAGCATCAGTCAAGAAGCGACAAGCAACGGAGAACATGCACCAGTCCCTGAAAAAGCGCCAGACAGGGACTCATAGTCAAAAGAACTACATGGCCGATGCATACTGAACATTTTCCAGTGTAGTTATGTAAATGAATGAGTTTTATTTATTTTTTTCCCAGCTTTCTGAAAACATGCTTTTTGGTGACTTTACTAGTTTGTTGGGTTGATATCTTGCAATACAGAACAGCTAGAGCAATAATTTTTTCATTACCATAAAGCCCAATCTGTGTGTTACAAAGTGCTGAGAGCGAAATTTCTATTCGCTGCCCATATAAATTTAGAAGGTATTAAATTTCTTTGTATGTGATAGCCATGACATGACTCTTCAACTTTCATCATCTGCAGAATCACTAGTTTTTCTTTATTTTAAATCTGTTTGCAGCATTGCACTTATTTCTAATTGCACTGTCTAGCTATGTAATAATGTTTACTTTTTGATAAGCGCTTTCTTTTCTATTGTCTCCGAGAACAACAGAGTGGCAGCATTGTGTATGCCCTAAATTAACTAACCTACAATGAAAAGTTTTGCATATTTGAAATCAGGAGGAGAAACTACATATGCATGTATAATTTCATCATGTTTGGTCCACAAATACAGAATATATCTCCACACACCATGTCCCCCTCTTAAAAAACTTGTATCAAGAGAAATCAAAATCTGCTTCCTATGTTGTGTGCTGCAAACATGTAGCTTCATGCTGCAAAAAAATTATTCTGATATTTGTAATAGTTTCCGATATATTGCAGGAGTTTTCATGCAGGATGTACAAAACTGCTATTTTGAGAAAATCAAGAAAATAAAAAATTCTAACATTTTTAACCGTAAAAATGTATGTACTTAGAAGTACATAGTCATTAATATATATATGGATACTAGAAAGCCTAAGGAGTGCAACGCTGCAAGCTGATCAAAAATTGAACGAGTACTTCTCGAACTACAGTACAGTGAGGTTCATTGCATGTAACCAAATACAAAAATTTTTTATTAAAATAAAAAAAATGAAGCTGCTCATTAAAAATAGGCTCTCAGCATTGTTTTTCGTGCACATTTAGCAACACTGTGCAAAAACAATTAGGCATAGTGCTGTGCGAGTTCTCCACCAGCCTGCACTTGCTCAAGAGGAGGTGCAAAGAGGTGCAGCATTGCTTGCGCCTGTTTCTCCTCTCAAGCTTAGGAGCAGAAGAAGATGCGTATAGTTCAGGGCGCACGTGCAAAACAGTTAAGCCAAGCTCATGGCAGTTTTTTTATATGACATGAAGACAGCAATCGCGGCAGTGTTTTGGTAAACAACGCCATCGACACACGTCGGGTGTATCAATGGCAAACAACATCACGATACACAACGAACTCTTCCTGCACTAGTTGCATCTCCGTTTTGGCAGTAACCGCCGTGCTTTAGTGTCACGGCTGCACCTGCACTTGCTGAACCACTGCTGCATGCCCACAGCACCACTGGCACCCCTGTGACACTTTGCCGAACTAGTGCAGGTACTGCAAGCCAAATCGAAGAGACTCTCCCTGTTTCGAGCACCTGCAGGCAAGGATGATTTAGTAAAGTGGGCACGTGTCATACCAAGGGCCGACAAGCCACTGCAAGAGAATTCTGCAGTTTGCGAAAGGCATTTTGACTCTATTGAAAAGTATGTATGTAATTCGTACTAGCTATAGAAAAGTGGAGGTTTCTTCAATTAGACACATTGGCGTGTTTGACGGCCCAGTGAGAAACGTCCCTCGTGGGCAGCAGAGCTGCAACGAAAAGAGCCATGCTAAACAATAATGCGAGTCCATTATCTGCTTAGAGGGCTGAACCAGCACTGCTATGCAGAATAAAGCCAATGAGGTGAAGCCCTGTGTTATGTAATGTTTTCATGTATGTACTGCTTCCAATAAACTTGTATCAAACCACCGGTCTTCTATTTTCATACATTCATCTATATTGCATTTCAGAAAAACTGTATTGACTTCCACTCTTTGATTTACAACAATCCAAACACTAACTAATCTGCGAGCGACACATGCACGGTTGTTCCAACCAGCCAGTCTGTGGGAGCGATTCCTCTAAACTGCTTTTTACATGACACGCTTTTCATAGTTTTTCGACGTATACAACTCTGAATAAATAAGCCCATCAGCATCGAAAACGCTCCAGCGTTAAAACTGAGTGCAGTCGAATCCTTTGCCTGCCCAGAGGCAAGCAGTTCATGCGAGAAAAGCACAACGCCCCTCTGACAATTTCATTCCACGGCAGGAACGCGCTTTTGGGGCAGCCTTCGGAGGCAGGTCATCCCACTTCCACATTAAAGCCGCTTTAGTTTTAACTTACCTACGTTCTTCCCCCCTCTCCTCCACTGCAAGGGGTACCCCCATCACTTCCACCAGTCCACAAGGGGTCCACGACACATGCATGGCTGAGAACCACTGGTTTACCAGATAAAACACTTCTCAGAAGAATGGCGAAAAATAGCATAGCGAATGCCCGTCTACTACTCTAAAATATTTATTTTTAATGCCGTAGTGGGCATCAAGCAAGTGTTTGCAGCAGTTACCCAAGGAGTGTTTAGAAAAGGCTCTGAAAGGCCACTCTTCTAGCTTTAACTGTGACTGTGCTGCACTTTCTGCACAGGCCTGGCATTTTTTTTTTTTTTTTCCTCTTTGACTTATCTCCCCTGCCCCACACACATTTTTTTTACTTTGTATTTTTTCACTCTCCTCTCACTTTTCCTTTTTTACCTTACTTCCTTCACCCTCACTGTCCTTTCAAACTCTGTTTTCCCGCAAGTGTATCGGTTGAGCAGTCCTCACATGAGAGACAATTATCGCGCACTCCACATCCCATTTTCTTACCTTTCAGTCATTTCCTAAAGAATAAGTTTCCCTCTTCCAGTTTCACGTGGCATGCACTTGCACGTGTGGTCTGTGCACGCCTATGAGAACGTGTGCTGCAGGTAGGTGGCACACGTTCTCCCAGGCGAAGAAACCCGGACAGCTGCTTGCAGACTAACTGGTTGCTCATCTAATCGCAGCACGAATCACACGCACTGCACATCACACGGAGGCAGAAAAGGCCCAAAGAGGAGGAGCAATTGTTTCTTTAAATTTGTGGCGTGCTGACAGCTCGTGGCAATGTCATGTGTGACATTGTTGGTAGTGGCGGCACTCAGCATGCAATGCGTATGTATATGTTTCAAAAATATCGAAGGTGGTCCCTTTAAAGCATATTCTCAACACAAGACATGCAAGTCTCACTCACTCATAGTTCTTGACAAGTGTGTACAGGGCCAGGAGCGCGCCCGCCCAGCCGGCACTTTCAGGTGATTGCAGGTAGATGGAGACCTTGTCCACAGCGCCTGTCCACCGGCCCGGAAAATCGTACTTGAGAACACAGCCCAGGCAGGACGAGAGCTGGACCCGGATGAGTTCGGGTGCATGCACCATGGCATCGACGAGCGCATCTCGCACCATGGCTCGATCCTGCTCATGAATGTGGAAAGGCAGCGGCTGCGGTTGTGGCTGAGTCTGCGGTGGTGGCTCTTTCTCCTGCCAGAACTGAACCACGAGGTTCTTGAGGTAGATAGCGCCTGCCTGGCGCACGGGCATGTCTAAGCTGGCCGTCATCACAACTTGCAGCAGAGATGGCGCAAAGCCAATGATCTTGTGTACCTGCAACCAGCACGCAATCGTTTGTCACAAAAGAACACTAAGAAACGCTATCACAAATACATAGCCTCTCCTGCAAATTAGCTCTCTTAACATAATGATCAAAAGGCCACATACGGTGTAGTCTTAAATGCAAGTGCAAAGTAGAACTAATTACTGAAGCAAGTTTGATAGCTTCTCCTGCATACAGAGACGATTTTCTTGATTACAGACAGCTCTGAGCAAGTGTCAAGCCAGAAAATCTTGACAAGATGTTTTATTTTGACACAACAACCTATTTACAAATACTTTCCTACTTTCTTGCATCAACAGTAGCATGGCATTGGGCATAAATTATAATGACTTCAAACACTACTATGACTGGTTTATGACGACATCAAGTACTAAACCTTCTGCCACATGACCACTTGTGCATCATAATGAGCCGAATGGCTGAGAAAGCTTCCCGATATCTTGCACAAACATGCGACAAGAAGTTCATACAGTGTGATAACATCGGGGCACAATAGCAACCAAAACCAGTTTTTGAGAACACCAGAACACCATTTTTCAGGATACATTAACACTACTAGTACATTTTATGGGCTCTTGAAGGCTTGGCCTTTCACAGGACACACACTAAAAAAAAAAAAACTAAGTCAGTATTCCTTTGAATGACATATTGACATATTAATAATGAAACCATAAAAGATTTTGTGAATTTGTGCGAATTCCTGGCTCACTGCAAATAGTTTTTGTTATGGCGGTATCAGCAGATCACATGATTTTCTGTTATCAATGACACCGTTCTCTCGGCTACTGCTCACCTCACTTCTCATGCGCACATACCCCTCCATGTCATACATGAACTTCAAGAGTCGCTCCCATGTGCCTGCAGCACTACATTTACATCCCCACCGCCCCACCCCTATATAGCCTCAGATTGGCCTCTGACACCAATTACCATCAACTTCCTCAACCTTTTTAAGAGACATAACTATTTCTACACGAAAACTATTTACCTGCTAACTTTTTCTTGCTATACTCGAGATCTTACAGTGGCGCCCTTGCGTGTGACGTCTATTTGAGCATTTCCCTTTCAACTGTGCTACAGCCGTCGCAGCTTTTGTAAAGTGAATAGACTGCTCCAGGAGGAAATTTCAACATACTAACAGCCTTGAGAGGGTCAACGAGCGCCTTTAACGACTGTTTTCGAGTGCGATTATCATCTCATTTTAGTTGTGGCTCAATTTGTACCTTGTTCATAGTAACCATGCTAACGCCGCCGCCAAGAAAGCACTAACGAGGTATGATGTGAAGGCCACCATGAGGCGACATTTCCGGTACGTCTTTAAGAGGTGCGCGTTGTGAGTGGAAGCGGTCCTTGACGTCAGCAGGCAAGGGAAATGTGAAAGAGAACGTTTGTCGTCATCTGCTCAAGTTTTGAGCTTTGAAGACCCATGACTTCACTTTTTGTGCACCAATATTCATCTCTCTTGTTGCACTCATCTCAGAAATCATTGCTACATGCATTCTGGTGCTAAATAAGGCTGTCACAAAAGAGCCGCACGGCCCCTTTAAAGGAGCACTGACACAAAACTTTTAAAGCGAGATATTGACCGAAATAGATTTAGATTTAGGTGAAGATGTACACAACGTCTACAAGATATTAAGGGTGAATAAAGAGTAGAACATATATAAAATCAATTTGAAAGTGCATGCCGCACTACTGAGAGAGATGCAGACCCCCTCATAATGCCGACATCAACACTGGGACAATGTAAGCAAACCTACGTCACGAGTTCATGTTGGGTGATTACTGGCAAGCGCCTTGCCCTTTCACTACCTGCTCCGTGCTTGCGGCTTCCCATGTGCTAGATGTCAGTGTGGTGCCCGCTTGCACACCCTTGCGTGCAGCATTCACGCCACAGGGTTGCAGAGTGACGTGGCCAGATGCATTTACCTAGGCTCCCAGAACTATTCTTGTCTAATTGATGCTCTTTGAAACCAAAACAGAGACTGGGCACTCTAAAAACACCGCCAAATAAATACAAACCCCCAATCGCACCAACAAAGTCTCCAGTCGTGATACCCAGGTCATAAGCTACCTATTGAAACAAAAGAAAAACGTCCCAAGTTTTTGTGTCAGTGCTCCTTTAAGGCTTTGGTATTAAAAACATATCTTTCTCGATGTGTTAGCTTCTTTTTTTTTTTGTTCTACCAACTTATCCAGGTAACTGCAAGAGTTCACTGATGGCACCCCAAGGAAGAAGCAAGTTAAATATGGCATGAAGGTCCATTCATACCCTTGTTCACCCGATGCTGCCAAAGGTACAAGTTAAGTACAGCTGATGCCAGCAGTTCCAAGATGTTCATGCGAAAAGCATAGGGCTAGTTACTAGTGATGTGAAGACTGTGAAAAAAGCAGAGCTGGTGGGCCAAACCCTCACTCTCACTACTATTTTCCATCGCATTGCTATACAGGGCCATGCTTCGTAACCATGGCTTCCCTTTCTGTCCCCTTGCTATACTATAAGACGTATTCATGTGATGACATCCACATGAGGCGCTAGCGCAGCAGTCTCGGTACTCGTCTTGCACACGAAAATAATTGTTTAACAATAACCTCCAGGCAGCACTTTTTAGATTGATATTTTTCCAAGAAAAGAGGTTAGTAAGGCACAGCACCACCATACCTCAAGCTGTCATATGCCGGATTGCTGACGGCTATGGCGCTGCACTCGCTGGTAGTGCATGGTAGGAAGAGCTAAGCGAATACCTCCCATACCAGGCATGGCCATATTGCGCTTTCTTTTTATCTTTTTTTTCTTTCCTACAGCAATGCAGTCAAATTGTCAAGTGGTCAGTCCTAACCACAGCACAGCTCACACACAATGTCAACCTCTTCACTTCTAGTTTGAGGCGCATTTTAAGGTATGTCCCACTATTGCAACAGAACCGAATGTTGCGGTAGTTGGATATGCATGTTGTAACTGCCGTTCAAGTGTACCAATAAACCCAAAGGAAGAGAGGACAAGCACTTGTCCTCTCTTCCTTTGTGTTTATTCGTGCACTTGAACGACAGTTATACCATGTCCCACTATGCCCTGTTACTGTCAGCCGAAACCACATAACGCAACCCATGGCGGCGAAGATGCCGACCCGGCGCCACTGCAGGGCCACAGCAGGAGGAGGGTGTTAGCGCTTGCGCTTTGACACACGGACGACAGAAAGAGACAACAGAGCAGGAGGTGCTGAGGGATCATCAAAGCAATTTTGTATGTAACATGTGTCATTTGTCGAAGCACGCGAAATGGGGCCTGTGAAACGAGAAAGGAGCTTCTCGGAAAGGCCTGCATGTTGTGTAGGGCCAAAGAACCAGGAAACCCGCTGGAAATTGTTCATCGCGATGCCATTTGTATTAACGCTTCTGTGCTTCTTGTGAAGCCGTTAATATGCTGTGGGCGAGTTGACGGGTGTGGTTAGCACTAGAGCTGCCCACACTCGTGGTCATGTTCATTTCTTGTTCTTCTGTCCATTTCTTGTTCTTGATTTCAACTATGATATCCTTAACCCCGGTTTGTTCCCTGATCCACTCTGTTCTCTTCTTCTTCTTAAGGTTACACCTACCATTTTCCTTTCTATCGCTCGCTGAGTCGTCCTCAATTTAAGCTGAACCCTCTTTGTAAATCTCCCGGTTTCTGCTCCGTAGGTAAGTACCGGCAAGATGCAGCTGTTATATACTTTTCTCTTGAGGGTTAGTGGCAGAGAACCATTTAACATGTATTTACAACTTACCATGTAGTTTCTTAAGTTGTATTTTCAAAGGTGCTGAACATTTGAATTTTCGCCTGCTATGTCTCAAAAACGAAAACAGCAGTATATTAGTGAAAAGATATATTACATGTTTCTTGAAAAAGTGTGTAGCGTACCGACGGAGCCAAATGCCAGAAGTCATGTATTTTCTGATTTCATTGCATGCTAATGCACTCCAGCTGGTCTAAATTAGCCAAAGCCGTCAGCTACGGCAGCTTATATATACAACCTGGGCTGCTTCAAAATGTTAAACTTCATAAAACATTAAAGCTAAGCAGCATAGATGTACCATTATATTGATATCCAGGGTGTTTCAAAAAATGGGTCCAATATATTGAAAAACTACAAAAAGGAGGCATCTGCATTCTACTTTTGGTACTTCCTTTACTTTAGCATAACGCATCTTCAGATGTGTGAAAGCAGTAATTATGGTAGTGTATATAGAAATGAAAACAATTACCTTTTAACCAGTCAAGATTAAAGTTCTTCCTACGAATAGTCTATAATCATTTTGAAATTTCGGAAAGGCGGCAAGTGGTAATCACTGCTGAGCGATGAAATCTGGCTAATTTATCTCGCGAAACTGAAACCGCACAGCAAACAGCGTATATGCCATCATCTTTGAAAACACCCTCAATGAAATGTTAATTGTTTTAAATTTTGTGAAGAGTTAATTGTTTTCATTTCTATAATTACTGCCATAATATTTGTACACATCTGAAGATGCAGTTCTGCCAAAGTAAAGGGAACACCGCACACACAATGCAGATGCCTTCTTTTGTAGCTTTTCAAAAATATTGGACCCATTTCTTGAAACAATCTGTATATGAGACCCGGGCCTAATAGAGGCCTGACTCAGGCCTGGGCCCGACCCGAGCCCAATGCTCATGGGTTCGAGCCCGGACCAACCCGGCCTGACCAGATTCGCTGGCCGGGTCCGTGCAGTGCTCTACCCCGCACTTCCACCACAATGGAATGGAAATAACACCAGTCATGAAGGAAGGACCTGGAAATTGTGGCACACACCCATGCATGGTGATTGGCCGAGAACAGGGTAGTTCTGGTGAAATACTGTTAAGTTGTAAACTCACATCTTTTAAACTAACTAGAGAGCAAGGGCAAAAATTAAATATTACAAATGGACAATTAACCGTAAACACAGCACAACTTACACACAATGTCAACCTCTTCCCTTCTAATCTGAGGCA